TATATATATATATATAAATTCCATACTTCTACTGGTATTCTTCCAAAAGGTCCCTGGAAAAATAAGAAAAAACAGTTAGGATCTGTTATGGTTCTTAGAAGTTTTGTGAAGGGTATGTGGAACACATCTCCTAGCTATGACACAGTGTATGTTCGTTCTCTAAATTGATTAATGCCTCCTTCTAATAACAGACTGCAAAAACAATTATTTCTAAAAGTAAAGCTTTTAAAAAGGTTTCTAATAGCCATTCTTCTTTAAACATTTGTTGCCATGTCACACTATACAAAATAGACAAATATAAAATGTCACATTTTAATTATTACTTCCAAGCTTTTATTTGACTAAGTATTATAGTCAAGACTTATTGCTTGCTAGCTTACATTTCTCAAAGTGTTTAGTGACCTGGAGTGTTTACATTTCTATGTAACGTGAGTAAAAGGGGCTTGATTTTTTAGCGGATAGATGCTGAAGTGTGCTTTAAGTGTGTATCAAGTTGAGCAATTTCTTGTCTTTAAATCTTAAAAACACTCTGTGAGCTGAGTTAGAAATTTTCGTTTTCCCATTTTACGACTGGGAAAATGAAGCACGGAGTGAAACTAGATTGGTTTCAACCACAGGGAGAGGTAGGAGGTATGATTAAAATACAGGAGTTCCTGGCTTCCAGGGCAATCTTTTAGACTGTGTTCTTTAAGTCTGTTCAGCATATTTTTAATAATATTTCTGAGGTTATAATTTTTTGGTAGTTTAAAATTTCTTTGATCAATAATTTAAATAAATGAATATATTAAAACATAAAAATATCAAAATTCAAGCACCTTTGGGTAACTTTTGTGTTAATCAGCCACTTTAAGAACTCTTTGGCAGCCATGTCATCAAGGATTTTGTTGATATCACTGGTGAAAGTGCCGTCTGCATGTCTTCTGCCCATTTCTTGAGCCTGAAGAGCTTCTTCTGGGAAACTTCAAAGGGGAGAAATTGTCAAAAGAAACCCCAGAAAAATAAGCACAATTCTTCCAGGGTCTCATTTTACATTCCTTACACACTCAGCATTCCCACTAGTTGCAAGGAATGCAAAACTGAGCCCAGAGTTGGAAAAGGTCTATGTGACAGTCTCCCTACCAGTTTCTTATAACTTTTTATAGGTAAGCCAAAATTCCTCACTTTCCATTTTTTTTTAAAAAAAAGCCAGATATACATGAAACTGCAGATTCCTAAGACAATGTTACCCACAGATAAAACTATGACAAAACAAAATCCATCACAGACAAATTAGGGTTCATTACTTATGAAAATATTATTGCTACTACATTGTAGCCAACTGTTTTATGCATCTAATTAGTAGTTACTGGATCTCATACATCCTAGGTTTATAGCTCCTGAAATGTTTACTGCATGAAAATGAGCTATTAGCTGCCTCAAGTAGGCTTGATGGTTTTGTTGTGAATTAACAGTTATCAGATTACAATGCGTCTTCCTGTGTGTTTATGGGCTGTATATAAACATATAGATTCTAGCCCCTGGTTTTGTTCATTTTGTACCATTGGAAAGCTATTCTAAGATAACCAGAGACTTCCCTGAGAGCTTTCTCCTCCCAAAAAGCACTGAGACTTTTTGTTGGACTGGAGCCAGGTGTGCTGATGCTGGAGAATATGGTGTTTGGGGACCTCTGGCAGCAAGTGGCCCCCTTGGGGATCCTTCCAACTGACATAATTTAGAGTGGCCACTAGATTGTTTTAAGATATGCCAGGGGTCAATTTGATCTTCAATAACACCAGCATTGATAATAAGAAAGGTGGGTTACAGGTTTCTGAGCTAAGTACATCTTGACCAAATTGCTAATTATCATCTCTTATCTACAGATGACAGAATACATTGTCCCCGCTGATGAAAGCCATTAATTATCCATGACAGCAAAATGACAGGAAATCTGAATGCCAATATAACTTGCCACCACCCTCTTCTTCATAAGTGATCTGACTCATTTATCTCTATCTTTCTGGGAACTGTCAGTCCTTTCAGAATTACTTTTTCTGTTAGCTCTTGCTATACTACAACACACAATCTTATCTTACAGGTTATATTTTATTATTGTCATTGTTTATTTTTTTTTATATAGTGCCAGAGACGTACATGCTAATTTACAGGTGGTAAAACATAACCAGAAGGTGACATGAAATCCCTGCCCCAAAGAGCTTACAGTCTAAAGACACAAATAAGTTCAGAACACGTGGCACTTGGGAGTGGCCTGAGGGCTTGGTTACTGCTAAACTGAGCAGAACAGATAGAGATTTGAAATATGAGGTGACAGAGTGTCCCGGAAAGATCAAATGGGAGGCTTTTTCAAGGATAAGGTTATCATGAAAAAAGGCATGAAGTCAGGAATGGACTGATGAAGTTAGCAGGAAATGGAAAGCCTGGGATGAGTGTACAGAGCAGGACAGGAAGTAGGAGGGAATAGGGAGGAAAACCTTGAACCGTTTCAGAAGGAGCAAAAGGATCAAAAAAGAAAATATCAGGATGGCAGGAAACTAAAGTTATTTTGCAGCAGCATGTGGGAGAGATTGGAGAACGAAGAAGTAAACGAATGGGAGACCAGAAAGAATGAGTTACCAGGGCCCAGATAGGAACTTTGGTGAGAGGGAATAAGAGGAAAAGTCAAACCTTGGAAATATTGCAGAAGAAAATGTAAAAGAGTGTTCTGAGAGCCAAGGGGAAAGAGTAGAGAGGAATCTAAGATCATACCAAGGTTGGTCTTCTTAGTGACTGTTGGAGTAGGGGTACTGCTAACGGGGATATGGGAGCAGAAAAGGACAGATTTTAGAGGAAAGTCTGGTTTGGATTTAGAAACATTGACCTTGGAATATAACTTGACCTTTACAAAAGTAACAGCACAGTGAACTCTTAAACAGCTTCATTTTAATCTGTAGTTGGACTGAATCATTTAAAATGACTGGCTCATACCTACAATGCAATTTAAATTACAAAATAAACTATGAACTACATAGACACTAATCAAAAATACATTATGGAACTATTAGGCTTGATTTCTAACCTAAAAAGCTAGACAGCATTTAATGATAGGAATGGATTCTTACTCTCTTCTTCCTCGTCCATTCACTAACCAAGCAATGAACTCCTTGGCAGCTTGACCTTCCAAATATGAGGTAATGTCACTGGTGTAGGTGCCCTCAGCATGTCTCTCAAATTCAGCATGACGCTTGGCAAGTCCATTGCTGAAAAAAGAGCAGTTTTCTTGGGATCTGGATCTTAGAAACATGTTATCAATTCTTTCCTTGGCTTGCTTATGTCTTATGATAGAGCTGCTCAGCTGGCAGCCTGCAGCTGCATGTAGCTCTGTAGGGGTTAGCCTGTTGGCCCCTCGGCTCTGGGTCCAGGCTCACCTCTGCTCACCTCTCTAGACACTGCTGCTACAGCTGATGTCTCTGGGCTGTAGAGACATCCACAATGTCATTGTGGAATTTTGGAGTATTATTCTCCGGATATATTAGCTCCTCCCCCTTCCTTTCCAGCTTCCTCATCCTACCCTACCTCTGGAGATGGTGTGTCACAGTGCAGCCCACAGGGCTGAGGGAACCTGTGGCCAGGGACCCTGCGGGGACCCAGAAATCTTACATGGTACAGGAGCACTGGCACAGTGCAACAGGGGAGTCATGTGGTGTAGCAGTGTGCAGGGCATTGTGGGTGCTGGCATAGTGCAGTGGGGGAATGCCCACTGTTGCATGGAGTGGCATGTGGCCTGGGGGAGCAGGGAGCCCTCAAAGCATGTCACTGGGAAGCTTGCTTCCTGCCGTGCCTGGCCACTCAGAAGTTGGACAGCCCTGTCTAATGAGCAAGAGTTTTTCTCATTTTTATATCAATATTTTTATTTTATTACTCATAATTACACTATCTTTTACCACCCTCCGTAAGTCCAGTCCACCTATTTTGATCATTTGTAGCCCAACTTAAGAGATGTGATGCCTTTTGCTTTCAGTCCCCCCAGCCATTTTTAATGGCTCCTCCCTTTTCCTTGACGTTTTGCCCTTTCATTTGCAGTCAAAATCAATCACACTGATCTTTTTTGAAGAAATACTGCATTGTGGAATTTTGGAGTATTATTCTCCTGATATATTAGCTCACATTTGTTTTTTTGCATCTCTTATTTTCTGCCTATGTTTCAAGTCTTTGTAAACCTCCTATTAATATTCTGTCATCTTGGGATTTCACTATTCCTCCCAATTTGGTACCATCTGCACTTTTTATTAGCATGTTAGCTAGGGCTGGTTGGAACATTTTTGACAAAATGTTATTTGCATCAAAATATTCTGTTTTACTGAAGCTGAAATATTTCACAGAGGTATAGTGATTTTGACAAAGTTTTCATTGGGAAGGTCTCTGAGACCTGGAGTGGGCTCTCTGGTCATTTTTTATAATAGAGAGAAAAGTATATGAATGAAACCCCTGACTTTTAACAGAAAACCAGAATTTTTGACACAATTTCATTTACAAAAATATTTAAAGGTGTGCTTTGTTTCAGTGTGGAAGAAAAACAAATATGAAAAGCTTTAAGTTATCACAAGATAGAGTTGTTGTCCTCCAGTTAGTGACTGTGACACCTATTTCCTCTTGTAGAATGAACAATTTACATAAAAATAGACCTAACACAGATTCCCATCTCACTGCCTTGTCAAATATTAATGCCCTTTCCTTAGTATCTTGTATTCAGTTGATGCGTCATTTCTAATCTCTGTTAGGATCTAGTCTTTTTAAGAATATAAGAAGTTCCATACAGGGTCAGACTGGTGGCCCATCTAGCCCAGCATCCTGTCTCTGACAGTGTCCATAGTATGTGTACAGGGCATGTTTAGTTGTATCCATTGCTTGTTGTAGCCTCCCTTGTATCAATCAGCAATTTTTTTCTACCTACATGGATTTTTCCTTTTTTTACCTTATTCTCTGTATTTATTCATTTATTACAATTTCCTTTCCTGAAATCTAGTACCCTTGAACTGCTGCATCCTGGAAGCCATTTCTGAAATCAAGTAACTCATGATTCCAAACTTCCCTTTCATAACAACAGTCTCAATAATTTCTTCTTTGACTTAAAAAGTAGGATGGCTTCTTCAGTGCTAGACTCTGTATTACTTTGGTTATGATTGTGAAGCTGGAAGGAATTATATTAGACTATGTTTTTTATTAACTCTCCCATGAGTAACATGTCCAGTGTTTTGAAGTACCTTGACAGCTGGTCCAGGAATTTTTCATTCTCTCTCTGCTCCTGTCCTTGTTGTCTGTAGCAGAAACCCACAGTCATTAGATTACTAATATTACATAAGGAAACTTGCAGTATTCATAACACAATAGAATTCTGCTGAATATTATTTACATGTCACTACAAGCATCCATGACTATTGGGTAAGTATAAACAATTTTAGGGTGCTGATACTTAATTTAGTATAGGCTCTCAAAATTATTAGTTCTATGCAACTGTAGTCTTGTAGGTTCACTGCCCCACAGTAAAATAACCATATTAGCAAAACATAAGTTGTAATATCATAAAGAAACATTTAATCTTATCATCTGTATAGCACAGGCTGTATAATTTTATCGAATTACCAGCACTGGGTCCAATAACTTATGCTTGACTAAAATATATTTTCCATAGTATCGGTATTTATGTGGCATTGCTAAGGTACCTAGTATCCAACAGAGTTTAATTCTAGATATAGTTTCTATAATGAGACTGCAATATCAGAGTACCTACAGATGAAAAAAAAAAGAATTAGATTTTCATCACCTCGATCCTCAAGGATATTTAGGTATTGATTCTCATTTACTCCAAGATGTTTAAACACTTCTAAGGATCTAGACTTGAGTTCCCTTCCCACAAGGGAAGTGTACAGTCTCCTGATAGATGGCATCTCAGATAATATACTGATACTGTGCTTGATTTAGTCAACAGTCTGATGACTGTTTTCAGTCAAACACTTCTGCTGTTTCAAACAATGACCTTCCACATATGGTTAATCTCTTTGAACATATTCATAGCATGTTTAAACTATCCTTAAGATCTTCTCTGGTTTGCATGCAATTAATCGAAAAGTGAAATAGACTGTGTCTTGTAATGTGAAGCTGAAACCCAGTAAACTGATTTCTGACTTGTACTAGACTTTGGGCTGCTTTTTCTAGATGATGATTAATAACAGCATGACCAATATGCTTACCCATTTCTTTTAGTGCTCATTAACCATTGCACAAAATCCTGAGCTCGTCTAGTGTCCAAGTACTTGCTGTAATCACTGGTGAACGTGCCTTGTGAATGACGCTTCACTTCATTCAGCTGTCTAGATTCATCTAGTGGTTCAGACTGGGAAGCTTTGAATGATCTATGAATAGTTTGTAACACATTAATCAGCATGGAGTAGGTGCATCGACTCTTCTTTAAAAATATAACCCCACCTTCTAACAGAACAAGACCAAAAATCTGTTGATATATGACCACAACTGGCTAGGTTATGAAATAAGGTTAAAGGACCTGGGATAAGGTTATGGAAAGGATAGATGGTAGAAAGGGGAGTTCTGGCTCCCCAGTCAGGGTGTGCAAGGTGGAGTTGTTTACAGTCCCCAGGTAGGAGTGCAAAATGGAGGTTGTCTGGTTTTCTAATGCTTCTGGGCTCTGCTGGTCACCACATAGGGCCAAGAAGAAATATTCCCCTCTCCTATTACTACTGGAACTAGAGGGGTGTGGAAGGGAGGAGTGGGAAGTTTGCATTCCTCAGAGCTGTTGGATGTTGATCACACCCAAGGCTGGAGATTTTAACAGAGGTCTGTGGATCCTCTTTGCCTTTGTCTGTAGTGAGGGTTGTGGTTCACTTCCCTTGATCTCTTGAGCATAGTTTAACAAACTGTTTCCTGTCATTGAAGTGGCAGAACATAACAGGGGGCTGAAGGTACTGTCAATACCTGTGACAGACATTATGTCTACCAGTTATGTGTGAAAGTTGTTCCTAACTTTTTTTAAAACATGTTAGACAAATACTTGTCTGGGGTTGTTTAGATAGGAATGATCCTGACTTGAGAAGGGTGTGGTACTAGATAACATCCTCTAGTCTTTTCTAGCCCTACTTTTCTATGATTTTATGATCTGCTGGCTGACAAAGTATAACATAAGTATGAAGTCCCCTTACACAATAGAAAAAGACTACTCTTCAAAATACCAAGCAATTTGTATTCTATTATTTGCAGTAGAGATACCTCTCTCTGATCCATTGTTAGAGCTAATATAATGTAATGGTGTAATGGCGTAATAAAGTTTTTCTTAAATTACAGAATATTTTGCCTGAAGTTGCTGGTATAAAAAACTACATTATTGTATTTGTGGTGGTGATTGAAAAGTTGAGTTTGAAGTATTTACCTTGATTTTTCTTCTGTGTCTTGAAGGGGATTTTGCCAGCTGCCTTGGATTATCATTAAAAGCAACCCAGCCACAAAATAAACACTTTTCATTTTCATTGCCTGTCACAACAGATATGAGAAAGAAAGAAACACAATCACCTTGACATCAGAGTCAATATATGAAAGGGAAAACCCTCTTAGTTCTGTACTGAATTTACATCGAATGAAACTGAACATACATGGGTATAAAATGAATAGAGCTTTGGACTGAGACTCAGAGGACCTAGGATCTATTCTGGGCCACTAACCTGTTGGATGACCTTGGACAAGTCTCTTATATCTTCAACTTTTTCACCTGTAAAATGAGGGCGTTGAGAAACCTGAGACGTACAGATAAATTGTGCTGCATAAAAGCTAGGGTTTATAACATTGTTTCAATGTGCTGTAGTATGAAAACTGAGGTCACTTTCAGGTGTTTTTTTTTAATTTTCTGCATCTCTTGACTAAAGAAATCAAAGCAGACTCCCATCAGGCAGTGTAGTGTCACATTGGCCACTCTTCTCAGTCTGACTCAACATATTTTTCACCATTCTTTACTCTTTCTGTCATCTAAATCAACAGTCACCTGCCCAAAGGTCTCTAGGATAAAGCAGGAACATTTTAAATCTATGTTCAACAGGTAACATTTAAGAAAATTACATATGGAAATCCATGGTGCAGAATTTCTGGTGTCTTTGATGCAATGATAACTGTGCTCACATTGCCTTTTTATTCCATCTTTTGAATCATCTTGTCACTTCCATGATCTCTACCATTAATGGTACAGTCTTGAAAAAACTAAATACCAGGATACAGAGCAGGGGACTTCTGCACACCATGAGATGAATTCGCACTGATTGATAATCTATTCAATTCTAGGATTTAGTGATTCTAATATTTAGTAATTTTATGTATTTGTATTAATTGAGATATACCTATTGAGCACTGGAGGAGGAACATACCCAGTCAAGGCTGCAATTCCTATGCACAATGGGCTAAGTACCAATTTCAGAATAGATCTATGTATATTGTTTATGGAGACTCGTGTTTTTTCCCTGCATCATCGGATGACATATAACTAGAAATGAAAGATACTAGAATGGATGGAAGTCTTGGAAACAACATATCCAGTGACTTAATTAAAACCTATAGAAGTTTAAGCATTAGGTAGTTCATGGGTAGCTGACCAGTAAGCTCCAAACCAAGCTTCTTTGTTTGATACTTAATGTCTGTGTAAAGTATTTAGACCACCAAAAAAGAAGTTTTCATTTCCAAAGAAACACATCTCTAACTTATAAATAAAACAATGATATCAGATAAGTACTACACACAGTTTGCACACACATTAACAGCACAAAGTTGTAATGTGGTTTAGACATCCCAAACATAATGAAACTGGACTTGAGAATATCTTGGGGCGGATGCTCACCGAGTGTAAATTGTCATAACTTCATTGCCTTCCATAGACCTATGACAATTTACAGCAGGTAAGGATTTTCTTCCTAGTAGTAACTACTTGAGTGTTTCCAGGCCCTCCAGAAATACACAGGCAGAACTTGACTTTAGCGCTGCTGTCGCTAGGTGAGGCCTAATTCTTAATGGGATGTTAACAATATCATATTGCGGTATTGCAATATCAGCAGCAATTCATTTAAATGGTGTCTTAGTCATTACCATGAAAATAGACTTGAGGACCTTATTTTTTTTTCCACACTGGATCAGACCACTGAGCCATGAAATCTGTTATCCTATCTCCAGCAATTGCCAATACCTAATGGTCGAAAGTTCCTGTTGTTCAATGAGATACAGAAGAAGCAGTTCCTTCCCAATCTCTGTAAGGATTAGTTTATGCCCTGATTATCCCATCTCATTCTATTGTTCGTATGGTAGTTGCAAATGATATACTGGTCAAAAAATATTCATTTCCTTTTTATATCCCCTTTAAATCCTCTTTAACTCTCTATTCATGTTCCTACTCAGAACTCTACTTCCGTGGTGCAACACTGACCTCCAATGTTTATCCAAAAAAATGCATTCATTTCACATTTCTTATGTTTAAAGACATCAGGACGTATCCAGCAGTCTATAAACACAAAGTTTTTATGGTACATCTACATTGCAGTCACAGAGACAGCAGGGTAGAAATAACTGAGCTAGCTTTAAACTAGGTAGCTTTCCTACAAGTAGCATGCTAATCACGGCAGAATAGAGCTCAGGACAGGTTACCTATCCTTCCTTTCAAGCAAGCCTTGCAACCTGCCCTGAGGTTCATATTGCCTCAGCTGAACAATTGAGCTGGCTAGCTTGGGCATTTCTGCACTGACTTGCAGTGGTCAACTTCAAAGTCACTAGAACTGGCATGAGTGAAATAGTTTGGTCACTAAACCAAAATTGCCTTAAATAATATCAATAAGCAAAGCTGATCTTATACAAACAGTTAATACATATAAATATGAAGGACCTGATTCCAAACCTCTTGAGTAGAAAGGTTCTCATTGATTCAAGTGGGGCTTGGAACTGACCCCAGTTTTCTGAGAATTACATGCAGGTTTAGCATTATGGATTGGAGCAGAATCACTGACTTCAGTAAAACATAAGCACATGCTTAAAATTAAATACATGAATCAGGGCCTTATACTATATTGGCAAAGGACATTTGGTGAGATTAATAAAAAGAAAGGAAGTTATATGCAAGTATTTGAAAAAATTAAGAATCTTCAATTTAAAGGACTGCCCTTCAGAGAAACAAGCATTTTTGAAAAATGCACAGCCATTAAACTTTTGTGCATGGACAATTGTAATGTTTGCATTGCTTTAAGTGTCTTAAGAGGGCTAAAAAAAGTGAGCAGATATGCACAATGCACTGGGCTAAGGAACCTCCCCCACCCCCCGATTGTACTATGGATGAAACTGAGATGAAAAGCTCTGAAATGCTTTGCAGTGAAGTGCTTCAGGTTATACATGTTTTCCCCACTTACATATTTTTTGTTGCAAGATGCATTTTTATTTGTATATTCTTAAATGTATATTATTGTTAACCACAATAGGTATTTGTTTTCTATAAATCAACAAAACTCATATTAACTAGAACATTGTTCTTGTTTTATTCTGGAATAGATGAACATCAATAAAAAAATTAGCAGCATGAGAATATTTGTATAGATCTGTTAACTGATCCATACAATATATGTAATCCATCTAAATACAATTAAAAAAAAAGAAACAGTTTCCACAGCGCATGGGAAACCTAGTTCTTGACTTGATTTGAGAGGCTTAGATTAACTGTGGAAACAGCAAAAAGCTTGCAGCCAAATTTCTGAGTTCCAGCCAAACTCAAAGTAATATCTAATTCCTCTTTGATAAAAGATTAGAAAGTACCGTTCAAATAATTCTTTTCTTGCCATTTTGAAATGTATTAGATAAATAGAGGCTGACAAAATTAGATGCATAAACATTACCAAATTATCTGACAGGATGTTCTTAATGAGATTCTGAGCTGCCAGAGGAAATGTCAATAATTCGTATGTATTAAGTCTTGATCAAAATGTTTGAGGCTGTGAACTGGCTCATGCACCATTCATTTTGCATCTAGAATTGGGAAACAATATTTTTTTCCTAATGACCTGGCTTTTTGCTAGTATTCCTAACATATTTTACTACAGATTTCTGCAGTGCCCTGTGTATGGAAGTTGTACATGGATATATTGTACTAAATCTTGCTAAAGGCCTGATTCATTCATAGTGTAAAAACACAAACAGAGAATTATATCAGTGGTGACAAGTGAGAAATTTTCCCATTTGAAAATTAAAGTGTGAATAGGAATATATTTCTATGTGTAGGAGACTTGCAGATAGGAGACACAATTAATTAATAATCTACTACCACTTTTATATACATGTCATTTACTTATAAATGCTATCAAACTTTTCCATATGGCTTCTTACAGTGAAATGAAAATGATAAGTTTTCAATGAAATTATACCAGTTGCTCCATTACTTTCTTACATGGGAGGTTTTTATAGACCACTATTGATTTTGTATCTGGTAATTTGTACAGGACTGTTAGGAATTATCTACAAGGGTTGAATCTGTGATTAAAGTCAGTCTGGTACACTGTCTCTAAATTATATTAAATAAACAAATATAATGAATAGAACATTGACTACATATATAATAAAATATATTACAAATATTAACTTATAATAAATAAATGATATTTGAGAATGGGAATAGAAAACAACATTAGCAGTTAATAACCTCAGTTTTTATGTCCATATAGCTAATAGTTAAATTTTTACAACAATGCATTTCTTCTGTGATTCCATGTTTAATTACCATTTTTTTCATCATTTAGAAGTTGACTTATCTCTGGATTGCCCTCTCTTTAACTAGTTGTCTTCTAAACTAAACTGATGCAAATATCAATTCTATAATTCCAAACCTTGAAGAATAATAAAAGATTAACACATCAAAAGATCCTGCACTTACTTTATAAATTTGAGGATACAATTGCACTCAATCCAGTGAACAAATCTAGAAAGCTAGTATGAATCTTACCTTTGGATACTTTGAAGAAATACGCAGCGATTGGAGAAAGAGTAGCTACTCTTTCTTCTGAAACTTTGGGAAGCCTTGAGGATTCTGAGAGCTGTTTACTGCCTCTGTTGCATAGCCTTATATATACTGTTCAGCTCTAGTAAGCATTATGAGAGTGCATCACTGCTGACAGTTTCTTTGTCCAACCTAAAAAAGTAATCATGATATTTGCCATTCTTTACATTTGACAATTTTTACAAGCAATTTCACATACTCATTCTGCTTACTTTATGACATCAATGCTGAGATAGGTCCTAATGGAGAGGCAAAAGGAGGGAAGTGTCAATGCCAAAAGGAGTAAATATCAGTCATGAGGATATTTGAGATACATGAATAAATAAAGGTGATAGAGATCAACACAGCAGTTTCTTTAAATTCCAGTTTGCCTAGCTAACGTTTTAAGTATCTTGGTCCTATTGGTGTTAATGGTAAAACTCCCACTGACTTCAATAGTATCTAAACTTTAGCCATCAATTTTAAA